TTTTTTGATTTAAGAATGTAAAACTATGTTTTAAAACGTAAAAGAAAGGGAAAAAAACCATCTTGTAGGCCCATTGTTCATTTAAATAGGAAAAAAAACCATCTGAATTTTTAATTCTAATTTGAATAGGGAAAATTGTAATTTTTTTTATTAGGTCGGGCTTCGGGCTTCGGGCTTTTTATCAGGGCCGGGCTCGGGCCCAAGTTATAGGCCTGTTGGTCGGGCTCGGGCCTAGCGTATTTCCATTAATGATTAGTAAAAGCCCGGCCCGAACGCGGCCCGGCCAGGCCTGGCCCATGAACAGGTCTAACGTCAGGTTGTAGAGTGGGGAGCAGGTACCAGCCTATCTAGGTTGCCGTTGTCACCTCCTCACGATCTCTCTATGTGTCATTCGTAGAAGGCCCTGATGGATCACACATGTTGTACGAGGGTTGTGTGTCTCTTGCTTGTGGGCTTACTTGAAAGCGAATAAGTGATGTGCTGTGGTCCATGAAAGCATTCTTTGTATGCTGCGATTGGTAACCAGATCCTCATCCACATACCATGTTGAGTGACCGCAGCCCGCTTATGGACCAAGGCTTGCCTTTACACATTTTAGCCATTCACGAGTATCAAGTTCCATGTATCTGAGGTCCACAACACTGTCCCAAACTACCATAGCGATACATGAGTCCAGGGAATTGATAAAAAGGGTTTTAAGAAGGGAAACGGAAAGAAAGAAAAGGAAAGAGTTATCCTCTTTTTTTCTACAGTTTCTTTCACTCTCTCTTACATTACATAGAAAAAGGAGCAAACTCTGTTATTTTCCCTTTTGTTATTCTCTCTTAATTTTTTTTTCAGTATAAATTTATAACCTTCTTTGGTTGCTAATAATTTTTTGACATACAATTCCTCTATTAAATACTCATTATGTCGAAGTGTTGTTGCTTAATATTTAAAATGCTATCGTCTTAAGATGTGATGCTTTGCTATATTTTGGGAGTTAATGTTATTCGTATTGTTCATTTCTATTTTTTCAATTTATATGCATGCTGATTGGCATGTGAGATTAGGGAATTAACCTAGTTATTAGTTTTTGCTTTGTATCACCTAGGTGATGCCTAGGTGCCTGCCTTAGTGACTAGGCGACTAGGTGTTCGGTGTTCCACTGTTGCCTGCCCTGACAATTATTGTGTAAATCTACATGTTAAGTCAATTCATGGTTAGTATCTGTCAAAAATCAAAATGCACCAACCAATATCTGAAATCAACTGGTATTTGGAAAATGGCTTTTGCAATTTTCAGAAAATCGTGGAACTGTTTGAAAACTGGGTGCTTAGATGTTAATATATGAAGATAGATCTTTTTTTTTCTTGTTCTTTTTAATTGGATGATTCTGTGGATATCATTTTCTTTACCTTGAACACCCTCTTTCTCCTCTGTATAGGAGTGCCAATGTCTTACTTCGTAACCCGTTACCTGGCATGTCCCAGCTCTGATTATTTGTCTTCGGGTCAAAGATATTTGGATTTGTTCAATATTTGGGTCCATATCTCTCTATTCCTTAATAGGAAGCTTGGTCTGATTAACAGATTTGCCTTTGTCTTCTAATCTGCATTTGCATTCGTAATTTTCAATAATAAACTTCAGAATTTTAGTGTTATGATGCTGTTCCATTTGGTGGTTGATTGTCAGATAGTCCACCCAGTATTAAGTCCAAGATGACTAGATTCAGGCTTTTCAGTTGGTTGATGCTTTAGCAAGATCAGAAGTAACTAGAAATGAGCTACTTTAAGGGGCACCGGGCACCTGGTCTGGAGCTGAATATGTTAGTCTGGTTGTCCTGAGTGAGAACCATTTATGTGCCAACTTTTGGTGGTATTTCATATTTGTACTTGCCCCTTTATTCCAAAACCACTGGTTTGATGTGTGTGTGTGTGTGTCCCAAAAAACTGAAAGAAGATAATATACATCAAGAAAAAAAGGCAACGAAAAACAAAAGACACCCACGCCCAAAAGAACCCCCACCAAGGCATCTTCAAAGTCAAGATCTATAATTATGGAAATACAAAGAAGGCATGTGTATGTGGGTGTCCAAAAAAGCTTGAAAGATAGAATGTGCAACGAATGCATATCAAGATTCAAGAAAGAGTATATATATGGCATGGGAATGTAAAAGAAAAAAGTTCCCTAAACTCCTATGTCTACTAAAGGACTTGAAACCTAAGGATATACAAAAAACCAAGGTATCCCCAAAGATGTGATCTAAAACTGAAACCACAAAGAAGGCCCCAACCAGACACTGCACTTAATGTAATAAGCCCAAACCCCCCTAATAGCAACTGATGACAGACAACCCAAATTACAGCCCATAAACATAGCCAGATAAGGACAACGAAGGAAAGTTTGTTCTGGGCAGTTTTGTAATTCAGATTACTTGGGCTCAACACCTATTTTAGGGGTTGACAGTTGTATCTTAGTTTTGTAGTAATGAAGTTACTGTTTAAAAAATACAGCCCATACAGCAAACTAATAAGCACTGCTCATTGAAGACTACCTCCCCTAACAAGGCTAAGCATGGTTAACAGGGGTTAAGGTTTCCCCTCTCATGAGTTGTGACCTCTCTATCACCCTCTAGTAGAATGTCTTTTCCTTCTTCCTTTTTTTTTTGCCATTTGCTCCTGCAGTGTTATTGCAAGCATGTCATTATCATCTCATCCCTCCTTGTACTGACTTTAGATAATTGTTCCTTTCCCACCATAGTTATAGTCTTATAGAATTAAAATAATTGGTATGATGTCACTCCTTTTGTTCTCTCTCTCTCTCTCCCAATATCTATCTCTTATAATATAGCTAGTGACGTCACCCTATCTTACTGCACTTCCTGTCCGAAAGATTCTTTATATCACCTGCTGTATCTGATCCTTAATCCTAAGGAGTCAAAAGTCAAATTAAAAAATTGAGAACTAGCGGTCCCCACTTGAAGCACTGAGAAATGATTTGAGGGCCCTTAAAATAACAACGGATTTGGCACTTTATGGAGTGTAATGGCAGAATGGGACTTGTGTAGCCAAACCCCAATTAATTGGGTCAAGGCTTTACTGAGCTGATTTAAGTCTCTGTATTTTATTTTTCTTTGAATTATCCGAAGGGATGAGAGATCCATCCCATGGACGCCCAAAGATTGCGGAATAAGGGGCGAATTTCAAAAATTTTTCTCTCCCTTCAATAGAGAATCACATTCCCTATTTAGAAAATCATATTTTCAAGGATTATTCTTGAACCTTAAATTGAACCAGATTTGAACCAAAAGGAGTAGGAGAGAATTATACCTGATACGGAAAAGTAGTATCTCCCAATGGAGGTGTTCACGCCTAAGGAAGGATCCAAAGACTGCTCCCACTGAAGATGGCGCAGTGCAGGATGGAGCAGAATGATGTCAAGATCCAATCTTGACTTCTTCCACAACTGGAGATCGAACTGGCAAACAGGGCAGCAAGAGCAGGGAGGCAGCAAGAGAGTATTCGCAAGGTGCAGAAGATCTCTCTTCTTGTGATTTCAGCACTGAAGAAAGACTGATGTTGTGTGTCTCTTCAAGGCTGCCGCCCCCTCCTTTTGTTAACCTAAAAGGATCAGCTCCTAATC